AATAAGATTTGAATGTCAGGCTAAATGATAATTCAAATATGGGATTACATATAAATATAGTCCTATGATATCATAACACATTATAGAATTTATGAAACAGCTACCAAACCTTTAGCATACTCTACTAGGGAATTATTCTTTTCAGGAAATAGCAAGTTTATGTTCATTTTGGTTCTTTTCTGTCATTCCTTTGAAATTGGCTAGGTCAGGAAACAGATTCCACAAAGACTATTGGAATTCTGTTTTATTACTGTAGAGTAAAATAATAGAATTTTGAAAGCCTGACGGTTCTCTCACATCTCTTATATAAAAAAGAATAAAGTAGGGAAATCTTGAGTTTCTTTCTCACCCTTCCTTCTCTTCCAGAGCTAGGAACATATTTACATAATGTTTTCTCTGAATTACTCTATTCCTTTACAACATACAATTCTGTCAATGTAGAGATACACATTTCAGTGGTTCCAGTTGCATCTACAGGGGATAGAATGATTTGAACCCTTATTTGCTGTAATGTGGGGTGTCTACTACTCAATCATCTTTTCTACATTATGCAATATCTGTATATTTATTGACTTATATTTCAATTTTTATGGCTGTCCATCTCAAATTCATGATTCTGAATAGTTAACAGCAGTGAAAAGCACACCATAACATTAATACATAATTTGCATACATAATTTACATAACACATACATAATAAATAGGCAAGATGAAAACCAAAAAAACCCCCAGCAAATAAATCAGTACACGTGTTGCACTGGCTCTGTCACACATCTGGATCTCCAAGCTTGGTGACACAACCCTGTTTTAAAAGCCTTGTGGAAAGTCAGCAGGATTGGGGCTAATGGAATCTACAGGGGGTTATGCTCCAAAAGATGGCCATAAGAAAAAGACTTTTCCTAGATCTTGCCAAATGACATTGATAGATGGGACCTGTAGCATGGCTGTCTTAATGGACCTAACGGAACAGATAGACACAATCGGCCCTATGTCAGGAATTACCATTCCTTACCGCAATTACCAGCATGATGAACTAAACTCAGAAGTATACTGGCAACCAGTATATACCATCTCTGACTGGCCCTGCCCTCATCTATTCTCTGCCTCCCGAGTCCCAGCTGATCGGGAGGGAATGGGGATTGTGCAGTAATCTTCCCCTGGAGTGGGGTGGGAATGGAGATTTTACAATATCCTTCCCCTGCCACATCCACAAAGCCATGCCCACAAACCACACCATGCCCACCAAGTCACGCCCACAGAATTGGTAGTAAAATTTTTTGAATCCCACCACTGACTGGTATATTATGTGCTGATTGAAGAACGCCTACTGTATTTTGTAACTGCTGCAGCTTTTAAAAGCACTTCAAGTGCAGCCCCAGGTAAATCAGTCTGCAGTTTAGGAGATAATTAACACATGAGTAACTGTAAACCCAGCCTCCCACTCCAGGGACAGATGCAATTGGAGTATAATATGAAGCTGTGCAAAGGCCCTTCTGGCCATGATTGCTCCTCAAACAGGAGCCATGCGTCCAGACAACCTGAAAACTGCACTGTGTCAGCTTGATACTACAACTCCAGCTAGAAATAAAGATGGAAAATTCCTGGTGGCTCCCAATTTGCAGAGCTACTCAGTCTTGCTCAAGCTAAATTGAAACCTGTTCTTCCTATTCAAACTACCCCAGCCTCTATATACTAAACCTGCATACAATTATTTGAGTGATCAGGAACAGAAATTTAAAGTTAGATTCCATAAATATACTGAAATTGCTGTGAAACTCTGGCTTCCCAGCAATTTCAGTTTGGGTTAGATTCCATTTACATGATTAAATGACGATTAAATGAAAGATGTGTCCCTCAGGTAAGTTAATGGTAATATATTGGCCCTCAATTCGTATTATTTTATTCTCTTTTTATATTTTTATATAAGCTATAATAGTACTTATATATCTCATTAGCATTTCCTTATTAACTTAATATTCATTTTTTTTCTTTCAGAAAGTCAAGGCAGATCTATACTGCTCTCTCCTTCTAATTTTCTCCTTAGCAGCAACTCTATAAAGCAGGTTGGGTTTTGATAGAGTAATTGGCTGAAAGTTACCCAGTGAGCTTCCATGGCTGATATTAGATTAGAATTTGGGTCTCCGCTGATGCCAAACCTTCAAAACCTTCAATGTTATGTCACATTGGCCTTCGGTCATAATATTTTAATCAAAATGTGATACTTTTAGGAAAAAGGTTATTAAAATGGAAAGTAAATAAACAATGTTATAAACTTTTATAAGTCAAATTATATAGTACAAATCCATATTCTGAAGACAGTATGCATGAGAGGATAAGACAGGATAATCATGCTAGGATATGCAGGAAATTATCAAAGTGCAATAATACTTTCATACTAAATTAAGTACAGTATAACAACAGTTTTGAGTAGAATGGTATACATGGTTAAAACTGTTAGAGCATATACCCAAAGAAATATATAATTTTCTAACATAGATGTAATTTCTCAAGATTTTTAAAATAAAAAGTGAACATTTGGGGAAAAACAACCAAAATTGAAAGACGGTTATAAATTAATAATGGGTAAAAAAGAATATCAATGGTTTTACTCACGTTCACTCAGAAATAAGCTTGCAGAATTCAGTGAATTTTTATTCAAGAAAATAAGCACAAGCAATAGAGTTTAATTAACCAGGAACCTGATTATTTGGATTAATTGTAGAACCTATGCAATCTGCACTTCCACAAGTCATTGGATTCAATTATGCTATTTTCCAGAGCAATTGTTTTCATCTCATGTTAAAATATGATGCTAATATAAACTTCAAAGTATGCATTTTTCTTACTTCAGTATCCTGAAATCTCCCCCCCCCCCATGCAATTTAATGGCTCTTACAGCAAGATACTTTCCTTCCTCTGTCATATTTCATGGAATCCTGTAAGAATATTTTTTTTTCTCCTGAGAGGGTATTTTAAGAGTGAGTGGAAGGGCTAGGTAGAAGATAGCTGCCACCTCAGGCTGTTTAACATTTACACGACAATACCAAGTATTTCTCTACCTTGGCAGTAGTTGGGAATTCAACTTTGATGAAAGAGAGAAATAAATTGGAAAGGGCAGAAGACTGCATATTTATTACCATTTTAATAGCATTCATATATTTAAAAGGATAGAAAGTATTCAGTATTCAGTCAACTAAGTAAGTATTCAGTGAAGTTAACACAGATATTAAAGTTGGCTCACAACTGCTCTGCTTAACCTTTAAAATAGGGATCTTTGTTTTGTAATATACATAAAGAGAAGAATTTTCTGTGTTTCATTAATGAGAAAATTAGTTGTACAGTTAAACTGGACAGGCCTATTTCATGGATCTATAAATTTCTCCCTTAGATATTTAGGATTTATTTTACAGACTGAACATTAATTTTCAGCTGAAGATAGAAGGTTTATAGACATTAAAGTTATTGTGATTTTATTATTTTCTTGTTTTTTTAAAAAAATAACAATCCTTGCACATGGAAAAATGAAGTTTCAATTAGCAGGTTTTTTTTAATCTAGCTGTCTTCTGGTTTGTTTCTTGTTTTCCATTCTAGGAGCTCTTACACTGCTTTTCTATCAATCCAAAAAAGGAACTTAGACTGTGGCTTCTTATAGTACTTAATATTTCACTCTATTACTGTATATAAAATGCTGTTTTGCTGTGAGCAAGAAAAGGTTTGTTCTGAAGTGATCCAATTCAACAAACTTTTTTTATAATTTTATTTAAAAACTTCCTCTTTGTGGACTTAATGCTGAATTTGTTATTCCAAATGACATACAGTAATTATCCCCCTTCCCTGGTTTGAGTTGTGAACCGCCCTGAGTCCCCTTCGGGGGGGGGGAAGGGCAGCATATAAATATAATAAACAAACAAATAAATATAATAATAAACAAACAATTAGTCAATAGAATTTTTCATTTCTTAGTTGTATACCAGATTTTTCTTTCAAAAAATAATAAAGAAGTAATCAAAGCACTTCTGAATTTAAAACTACAAGGAATAAAATTGACTAATTCAGGAGTGATTCATCAGTAACACTGCAGCTTGTTGCACAGGTGGTAATTAGAGGTTTAGAGATTGTAAGAATGTATATACAAAGAGTATAAAGTAGTCTTGATTTTTTTTAAAAACTTGTTTTAGTTGAACTTGAAATAATTTTCAAGCATTTTACTATTTTGAAAAAGCATTAGATTTAGAAAAATGTGAAATAATGATACAAAAAATACTGGGTTTTTTAAAAAGTGAAGTACAACCAAAACCTGATCAGTGAATTTTACACACAACATGATCACCTCTTTATATCTTTAACATCCATTTTACTTTAAATTGAAAACTAGGAAAGTGGGCATGAATTCATGTTTCAAGATGTTATAAAATCCATCTAAGAATCATTGCAAAGTTAATAAATAATGATAGTTTTGACTAATTTGATTAAACATCTGATAGGTAAATAGGTAACAAATCCAATATAATGTAGATTGAATGCAATGAAAATATTGCAAATATTTCTGCAAAACAAATAAAGTTCATATAACTATTTTTATTAAAAATGTAAAGTGCTAAAGTATATTGTCAATGTCTCAAAACCTCAAAAATGTACCTCATACTCAGAATTGTATAAATATAATTAATATACAATTATTGGACCTCTTCCTAGCCTTTATATATAAATAACAAAAATCAATGTACACATATGCATATCAGAGAAATCTACACACACACACACACACACACACACACACACACACACACTTTTTTTAAAGTCCCTCTAAATTCAACAGTATTTCTTCATGTAAATATAAAACTACATTTTAAATTTGGAGATAGTTCTTTTTATGCTACATTCTGGTGTCATGTAACAGACTGATATTAAAACAGACTAAATTAAATATTTTAATTTTTAGGCTATCAATAACCAATAATACAAGAACACAGTCTAATAAGTAATACTCTTTATCTTACCTATTTTTTAATCATTTCAACCACAGTTCTGAAATTTCTTTGCACGTAAATTTTCCCACTGAATTCTAGAAAGTAATTTTGGTGTTCAAAGTAACACAGCTCAGACTATGTCATAGTCCTTTGTATTATACTATCTTCTTACTGAAATAAATAATAAAAAATGGAAAATTAAAATATCTTTAAAAATTTGATCATACACATTTGTTTCTTGTGTTTGAAAATTATATTGAGCTCATTTCTTTAGAATTGGGTTTTAATTTCAAAAGCTTAATGAAAGATTCATCCAACTTTAATCACCAATAAAATTGCAGATTATGTCACCTGAGGAACATTTATTTCAATGCTGAATAGTACATTGCTAATCTGCTAATCTGTATATTAGCACATTCTGTATTAACATATTCCTAGATGTTATTACTTCCTCTGAAACTATTACAAGGAGTTCACTGCCATACACCCCCCAAAGAGTCCTCTTTAAAGTCAGGAACATTTGCTGTGACACTATTATTTATTATTTAAAACATTTCTATAGCCTCCCATCTTATATCGAACTCTGTACAGCTCCCTATCAGCAATTAAAATAGAATCAATAATAAAACAACATAGTACATAAGCATATTAAAATTATAAACACTAAAAAAACTGACACCAAAGTTAAACTTCCAACATACAGTCCTTCATAAAATACTATCACCGACCTCCCTTTTTAATATTCCCTTTATAATCCATACAGTTATTTGGTTTTCCAGCTGAGTTTTAACAACACACTAAATTTCAATTACATAAAATATTATGGGAGTGCTGATTAAAGTAACAATTTACTTATTGTAAATATTTACGTTTTTCCTTCTATTTGAAATTTGCATCACTAATCTGTTTTCCCTTATTCTATTTATACAATTCTTTGTTACAGGCAGAGCAAACTATTGATTTGTTTAAATCAAAGCCAAACAATAAAAATGTCAAGGGAGGTTAAAATTATTGTCTAATGATGATATGAAAGAATATTTCTGATGAGCAATTTTTTAAAAAGGCTGAGAAAAGGAAAACTGCTAGGCATCACTTTTAATTATTTTATTTATAAATTTGATTAAACAATGTAAAAATATCTAACTGTAGGATACATTTATAATTCAATGCTTTTACAATATTGAATGGGCTATTTATATATTCCATAGCAACTTCTATTTTTTGTTGTGAATAGCGTAAACACAATATAAAAAGGAATAATTTTCAGATGTATATTTGTTATGAGAACTATCTTCTATCACAGATTATTACATATTTAGTTAAACTGTATCCTCATAGAAACATGTTCATTAAACATATAATTTAATTCTAATAATAATAATTCACAATTATCAGCCAGCCAAATCAATATTTCTTTTTCCATGAGCTTCATTAAATCTAATCTGCAGGAAAATGTATAGGATTTAAATGTTTTCCTATTATTATTTTCCATGTGCTGTTCATAAGCCAGCTATTGTTTTCTTTGTCTTTTTTCTATAATTCCACATTCTTTATCTTTTTCTTTGTTATATGTGGCATAGACATACACATCACTGTAAATTTTTCCTGTCATATATTGGAATGGCAATATCACAGGTACTCCAGGGACAACTGTGTTAGCAAATAAAGCTTACAAAAAAAAGCACACACACAAAAGCACACAGAGCAACAAAGAAGGAACACAGTGGAATATTTTCTTCTCTAGTAAAACATATAAAGATTTCAGATCAAGTAATGAGATGGCTGGATATTCCCTAAATGATCTGGGGAATTTAGAGTCAGGACTGTAAATCAGATATTGTTAGAAACTTCCATAACCATAGTCAAGTATCTAAATATATATATCAGAGGACATCCCTTATACTACAAATAGGCACCGACTATATTTTCATGTTTATTTTATATTACTGTTTTTGCATGACACTTTCTAAGAAAACGTGGCGGAAACCCTAGAGATTATGCTTGTAATTGGAAGGGGGTAGGAATAACCATGGCAACAATTACTACATTTGCAACTGTTTTTAAAAAATAATTTCACAACATAATTAACAATGGTAATTGTGCAGACAGTAAACATTAAGAAAGCATCAAATACTAATGGAGTTATATCAAATGACATCTTGAAAATGAAAACTAAAATCTGTCTCTATATGGACAATGCAGTTCAGAAACAAAGCACATACCATTATCCATTCAGGTGCTCTACTTCTTATTCTGCCCACATAGTTCTGCAGCTCCATTAGTCCAAAAGTCGACTTTGCCCTGCTTCTGATCTTTATGGGTAACAACAGCATTATACTGTTGGCAATTTTTTTCGATTAAACTTCTCAGACACGGTAGCAACTTTGTTAATTATGATATTAGGCAGCTGGCGGGCACGATCAATCATCCACTATAAGAAAGCCAGACAACGAGACATCTAATCATTGCAACCAGAGCAGATAAATTTTGTTCCTTTCTTATACGTGTCAGAGATTCTATCCCTCCTGACCCCTGAACACTGCCATCGACTGTCAAATTTAGATTCAGCAAGCTCCCAGCTTTTCTTTATCCTTGCCTTAGATCTGAAAGTCCTGGTTATCAGGAAGGCAAGCGTCACCAGCTGTCTCAGAGCAGGAAGGCAATCAGGTGAATAGTACTTATTATCTTTCATTGCTTGCTAAGGAATGACAAGATTGATTTGGGACCAAGAGCACATCCATATCTCAAAAACAGGCTTCAAGTTCAAACTATGATGCATATGTAAACCTCTACTGAGGGATTTCAAGGCTAACCTTATTAATAAAACACACTTAAAAATTAGAAATGAGACAGAACCTCTTGAACAACTAGAGAATTCCCCTTTAAATTATGACACAAGCTGTTCCCATGTACAAAGTAGGTGTTCCAACTTCTATGGGGAGGTTGCATTTCACATATAAATTAATTGGACCCACAGAAGCAATAGGCTTCCATTAACATCTTCTCTGTAGGTACCCTTCTGTCTTAACTAGACTGATCGTCTGTGAATTCTTACGAATGCAACAGGCACTAAAATTCTTTCTGTAACATTCCTAAATGGATATGATGTGTTAGGTAATATTTTATTTTTACTCCTGAAACTACAAAATATATTGCTTACTTCAAATAGAAAGGAAGGTAAATATTGTAAGGTTCTGAAGGAAAATTATCAAAGAAATTAAATATACATTCAGTAAACTAGAAAATAATTTTAAAATGTAGTTAAAATATAAAGAACCAGCCATAAAATGATTATACTAGGTTATGTTAAAATAACTAAAAACAAAACACCTTGAATAAGCAGGATAATTCTACAATATAGTACAAATTTTTCTTTTTGCTAATTAATATTAGCAGTTGTTAGAGGTGTTATGAACAAAGCGACAATGTGAAGCTCCACTTTAACATGTCATTATTGCAACAATAATTCACATTTTCGAATCAAAATATTCCTCAGCACTATATTTTCTCTTAAATAATTGTAGGGTTATGAGACAACCCATTTGCTTCGAGTTGTCATAAAACTATTAAATTTATTGTACTATTCTTGAGAATAATTAGAAAATGGAACATGACTTTAAAAAGGAAGATAAAAGAAAGGAATTATTCAAGGAAGTTCTTATATTACAAAGTTGACTAATGATGACATAGCATACAAGTACAAAATAGCTTGTTTCATCCCTAATTAATTGCCTATTGGTAATTACTAAACATAGGAATATTTATCTAATTTTAAAAAGTATATTAAATAAATTCAGAAAAAACAACAGGCCATGTAAACAGCAGTATTAATTTCAATTGATTAGCATTATGGATAAAACTGCACCCTAACTATGCCAAATAACAATGATTCATGTTAAGCCCCACTGAGTTTGCTGTCTGGTAAATATGCTGTATTTTATTTTTAAGATTATACAAAACAACACACTGCATTCAAGAAAATATTGTTCCATGTTTATGCTATTGTAATTTTTTTTTAAAATGTATTCACTCATTGATGTTTGTTCCCAATGTTTTAACACATTCAGTTTATATCACTGTTGGCCACAAGATAGCAGAACATATTTTACAAAAATCATTGCCACATACACCCTATATAGAATGAAGAAGAACTCAATGAAAACCTTCACTGCTGAAATATATACACAATCAAATACATATGGGGGAGAAAGAAATAATATCTTCAAGGAAGGGAAAATGTTTTAACAATAGAAGCCTTGAAAAGAATTACACATAAAATAGAAAGGATGGTATTAGATTTCCAATGTTATGTCTCTATTTTCCATAGGTGAAAAGCTAGTGCCTCAGATTAAGTGTACAGGGAATTAAATAATGGCTTACTTATTAACTAAATGTAAATAATCTGTAATCATATATTACGTCCTTTTCCAATGTGTAGCCTTCCCTACAGATTTCAATATAGTTTCTATAATACCCAGCCAGATATTTTTATTAATAGTAAACATTTTACATGAAAAGTTATTGAGATTTTTTTTTTGCACAAAAAGAGACCACCATACATGGGTGTCTAAGGAAAGGCCCAGGAAGGACAAGTGATATCTGGGCAAAGATGTATAAGGACAAGAGCTGTGTCACATACATGTCATCACCTTGATTAAATTTTCCTTTGCTGTGGACAATTGTTCGTCCATGATACACTGCTGTCAATATTGACTGCAACTTCTCTGGGTTTATAATATGAAATATTCCTAAAATTCTTATCAGGATAACCTGACACAATTGAGTCCTCTGTCACAATATCAGGTTGTAGTGCACTGAGAACATTGCTGTATCCCTACATAATACATGCTACTAATAGAATGGAACTAGTAGCTTCTCTTTGGCATTTTTGCTATAAACCCTAATCTAACCGTTTGGTTTCAGAAATCTAAAAATTTCAAGTGCAATTTGTGCACTGATTGTTTGATTTTTGTGAATTCCAAGTGCCACAATTCTGTGATAACACAGTGAAACAATGCATTGATCTCTATTAAATGTAGGGTGCACAGCCTGATAATTAAGTGAAAATCCAACTTTCATTCATGATTCATGATAATTATTGTCAAATATTGAGCTGAGTACCATAAGGTTCAGTCCAATACTATTCTACATTTTTAACAATTGTCATTGCAAAAATTAGATGAATCGGTTAAAAACAACAGAATAACATTTGACATAAATAGTATAGTTCTGCACTTAGGAAACAAAGTAAAATATTCAGGTATAGTTTGAGAGATGCTTGACTAGTAAATAAGCTCTTAAAACAGCAGTTGATTTCATATAGAGAAGGAGTTAAATATGTGATATGACTGAAATAGGTTGCATCAACATAAATATTATTTCCAAATTATTGGAAACAAGAGTTGTATCTTGTAATGAATGCTAGAAACAAAATGCTCTGAAGAGTGATAAAAGGAATTAGGAATGTTTAGCTTTGACAAGAAAAGCATGCAAAGGTGTATGATGATGACACTTTCCAAGTATCTGAAAGGATGTCACAGTTGAAATTCAAGAAGTGTCGCTATTGTTGAAGAGTGAAAGACACAATAATGGATTTAATTTATAGATTTTTTTTATTCAGTTCTATTTCAGCAATAGAAAAATTCCTAAACAGTAAAACAGTTGAAAAACAACCAATTACTCTGAGAAGTGATTGGTTCCTTCACTTGATTTATTCAAGCAGAACCTTGACAGTATTGATGGCAATGCTTTAGTTTCAACTCTAGCACTAAGAAAATTGGATTCAATGATATAAAAAGCCCATTCTCACTATGTGATTCTATAATTCTTCTAATCTGTATTTACAACTGACATTCAGTATGCAATACTACAGTATTTTTAAATATAACACAAATTGCTTACTACCAGGAGAAGGCAGAGCCCCCAAACTCCATTATAGTCCTATAAGAGAAGAAACAATTTTACAGAGGAGCTGAGAGAGGGATTCCATTTTTCTGGAATTCTCAGTTGCATTTATTCTATGGAAATATTGGTTTCCGAAATGCGCATTCAGTGGGATTGAATGGAATCACACATTTATTCAGCATTATAGTCATGTTAGAAATGCTCGCTAGCTTAATTCATCCATAGCAAGTAGAATGATCCCATATTCATTATTCTTGTTACTGAAACAATATATTTAATTTTATGCAACCATATTGCCAAACGCAGAGTTCAAACAACAGCCTACCAACCTGAGTTACTAATATTCAAAGACATTTCAATATATTTAATTATACTGAATTTAGGCTTTTAATCTGAAAATACTATTATTATTATTATTTTTAAAGTCCCATAATCAATTAATTTATATTTGCAATGTAGAGATTGATGCTTCAAAATATCTCACAAGTTATCCAAGGAGTCGTGTCAATTCACGATTTATTATAATGAATATTACTAGAAAATATTCCAAGACAAATTCCAGAACAACCAAATAATTAATATGTTCTATACAATTATACTAGGATCTAAAATATTTTATTTATCAGCATAATTGACATTTAAATCTCATATATAAGGTAATGGCAAATCACTTTGGCAAGAAAACTGGTAAAATCTAGAAGAAGGAAGTTTGAACTTCTTAAGAAAAGACAGGATAAAAATCTATGAAACTAATTAAAACTCATTTTTGAGAGAGATTTTAAATATGCTTAAAAGTGTTGCCATAGGATTTAACTCTAACTTCTTATTATAAGTCTTACTTTCACATAGCTATTTATAAGATTGCAACAAGAAGGAAGAAAAGTATAGTCGATCATATTTCATAATTTATTCTACTACATGGACCATTCTGCTGCAACTACATGTATATTTTATTCAAAAGCAGAATGACGTGTTCTTGAGATGAAGTTCTAATGCAAATTTAAAGAGAGACATCTGGAAAATTTGCTATAAAGTTCTGCCCCCAGCCTTTCAAGAAACCTTCAAAGCTGGAATCTTTCTAATAGATTATAAAACTGTACTACTGCCAATTTATTTTTTTAAAAAGAAATGTTGGGTTCAGTGCAAAAAAGTACACTAGTCCAATCTTCATATTTATTTGAAGCTGATGCCTATCTCATCTCTGTAGAAATTACATGGAATAATAGTAGCAGTAACTGCAGTAGATTCAAATTATAGAAGAAGAAGAAATAAAGTGAATACAAATACTCAGTTAACCCATTTGTTATTCTAAGCTTTATAATTTTAATAAACTGAATACACCCTACTCTACTAGGCTACAATCCTAAAATCATTAAGAACTTTCTTATATATAAGGCTAATTGGTTTAAACACTCCAACGGTGCCCAAAACAAATGAGCGTGTATAGTATGTCTATATGTACATACATGTACTGAAAAAAAAGACACCAATGAAAACAATACATATTTTGATGATAGTATATAAAATGTATGCAATTAGTTGTATAAATTAAGAAACACTTCCTATTCTCATGTAAATGTTTGGCTCCTGTAAAATGTTTATTCTCAACAAACTTACATTTTTAGTCATCTTGTATATTTTTAAACTGCGTACATATCAAATGATTAGTTGTGAGATAAAGCAGAACAAATAAAATTGATGAATTCATATGGAAAAATAAAGCTAAAATAAAGAGTGGGGAAAAAGAATGCATTAAGATGAAAGATGAAACAGATGCAATACACTGGAAAGATCAAAGAGCTCCATCAATTCATTCTGAGTGTCAAAATCCAGCTGAGCGTCAGAGCCCTGCACACATAATAAGGAAGGTTGACTAAAATATAAGGATTAAACAGATGAGCAGTCTCCTGTGGATGTACGGCAGAGATCCTGCTGTGCCACTTGTAAAGACACTTTGGAATGGTACACCTGCTATTCTGCAGCCAAATCCATCTGGAAGGAAAAATAGCTACTCATGCAGTAAAGACTTGCTTGCACAAAAGGTGTCTCAAAAGTATATATTTTCTTTTAAAAAACAAAATGGTAAATTAGAGCAAACCTCTTTAATCATGCAATATTTTTGTCCCTTAAATCAAATTTTACAAATTGTTTAGTAAAAAATTAAAATACAAAAGTCTTTGTATCATTGTCCCTTAGGAACTATATTCATGTATTAA